GGGCGCTGCGAGCACTCGGGGCGCGCGCCGTGCTGGCTGCCTCGTGCGCGCGCTACCGCCGCTCGCTGCGCCTGCTCGAGCCCTTCGAGGTGCGCACCCGCCTGCTGGGCTGGGACGACCGCGCCTTCTACCTGGAGGCGCGCTTCATCAGCCTGCGCGACGGCTTCGTGTGCGCGCTTCTGCGCTCCCGCCAGCACGTTCTGGGCACCTCGCCTGAGCGCGTTGTGCAGCATCTGTGCAAGCGCAGGGTGAGATACCCCCAACCCGTGCACGACCCCGCGGGGCCCTCAGGACTCCTGGTCCTTGCCCCCTTCCCTGGTGAAGGCCTACTCCCTCGGGTGCCGGACCTGCCGCGTACCGTTCCAGACCTTTCCTTTGGGCCCAGGGCCTCCTTTACTGATGTTCTTCCTAGGAGCTCCCAGGGTCCCAAATAATCTCTTCATAACTGGAGTGCGCTTGTTTCCCCCTGCCACTTCTTAACCTGGCCCCTTAAGATTCCATGACCATTTGCCACCTTTTCCGGAACAGGGAAGCCCAGACCAGGCCTCTCCCAGCAGGCTGTGTTGTGTGTCTTGGAATGTGGAGCCACCCTCTCTGGTCCTTGGTTCTGAACATAGTGTGTATGGGAAGAGAGGGAGTCAGTGAGAGGACGTTGCTGCGAGTTCTCAAGACTGGAGATTCCCCCTTTCACCCAGCTTAGAGCTGAGGGACTGGGTCACCGTCCCCTGGGTTTGGCATTGGAGGATTGAGTCCTGGAGAGCTGCAGGCCTTTCTGCTTTTTCCTGTTGGAGAGAAAAAGCCACAGTGCTGCCTGGGGCTCAAGGCCCCTCCCCCAGGGCCAGCTCCTCCCAGGACAGCAGATTGGGCTCCTGCAGCCTGACAACCCAGGGGCCTGGGGACAGTCAGGGTGTTGCTGCAGCCAGGTTTGCAAGGGCAGCTCCTGCTGCACGTGGGTTCCTGAAAACTTGCCTGGAACTTCCATGTCTAAGCTGGGCCTGTCCCAGCCCCTGGTACCCTCAGGCAAGGCACTGCCCTCTCTGGGAAAGGAGGGACACTGCCTCACCTTAGTTGTGAGAAGTCAGTGTTTCCCCATGTGGAGAAACAGGCTCAGAGAGGGAGGGGAACTGCCAGAGGCTGCACAGCAGGCCACAGGCACAGCTCCCTGGTTTTCTGTTTCTGTTGAGCCAGGAACACAACCAAAGGGCCTGGATCTCCCCCATCCCCATTGGCACAGAGATGTTCTGTGTGTCCTTTCATGTGTCAGGAGGCCGGGAGGGGGTGGCCATCAAGGCTGTAAGTCGATGGGCTGAGAGCTGTGACCAGAAGGCAGAGAAAGGGAGTCAAGGCCACTTTCCTATATGGGAGGCTGCTATGTGGGCTGGAGGCTAACTTGGGCTGATGGGTGAGGTCCAAGTGAGAGGGCTGACAACACAACATGGCAGGGACATGCTAAGGACACCCAGCTGGCGACAGGAGGGCCAAGGGATGGCCAGGAGTCGCCAAGTTTCCAGCCTGAGCCCTGGGAGTCCCAGGTGGAATCTCCGGTTCAGTGTGGGGCTGGCTGAGCCCAGTGCCCAGAGGTCCTGCAAGGCTGGCATGAGGTGGCGTGGTCTTGGGGGGACAGCTGGGCTAGGAGGAGAGCGCTCCCAAGAGCCAGGCCTGGACTTGGAGTAGAGCCTGAGCCCAGACTTGTCCTGTGAAAAGGGCAGCTCCCCTGCCTGCAGGGAAGGCTAGGGCTCCAGCTCTGAGCACCTCTGCCTGGCCTTCTGGATTACCTGAGACCGGTGGGCATTTACCTGGGGCTCTTGCCTTATCCCTGGGAGCTCTCAAAGCCAGTTGGTGAAGCCTCTGACCCACCAGGCCTGGCCCAGCATTTTGCCTGTCACTCCACCACAAAACAGAGGCCGAGTGGGCAAAACTGGAAATGCAGTGGTCAGGCCCGAGCGGACCTGGGAGGACAAGCTCCGTTCCTCATGGTGCCCTCAAGAAAGAGGGGCTCACCACAAGCCCTTGCCAGCACTCCCCCCCCCCACGCCCTCCGCCCCCTGTTCTTTCTGACTCTGAAGGCCTCTGGCTCCTCTGAGTTTCCCACCTCCTGTCACCCTCTCCAACTACCTGGCCTCAGGTTTTTACCTGAGTTCTGGGGACACATGGAGAGCTCAGGTATAGCTCTGGGAGACGCAGGCCTGATAAAGGAGAGCAGTGTCTTGAGAGCTAGGATGAGGAAAGTTTAACCACTGAGGGCCCAGGAGGGTGGGGGGGAGGAAGCCATCTGGGGCTGGGGACAGTATCAGCAGAGGCCCAGAGGTGTGAAGGCAGAAGCCTAGCTGGATGACCCTCCCTGTACCCCTGTTTGTTGCTGTGGCAGTGGAGGGCTCCTAGGAGCCTCACCCTACTCTCCCCCTGCAGGTGAAGCCCCCTGAGCTGCCGGAAGACGTACAGCACTGGATTGCCTACAACGAAGCCAGCAGCCAGCTGCTGCGGGTGGAGAGCGGGCTCAGGGATGTTGTCAAGGACCATTGACCACTCCCTGCCTCGCCAGCCTTTACCTGGGGCAGTTGTCCTCCCATCCCCCACCTGCCAGGGAGCGGAGAGTGCCGAATGGGCTGGCCAGGCTGGGCTCTCTGAGCTTGGAGTAGCCTTGTGACCAACCCAGCCCCCTTGACCCTCTCAGCCTCCTTTCCCTTCCCCTGTTATTTAATTTATTTATTTTTAAAAATATATCTTTATTGATTTCAGAGAGAGGGAGAGAGATAGAAACATCAACAATGAGAGAGTCATTGATCGGCTGCCTCCTGCACTCCCCCAACTGGGGATCAAGCCCGCAACCTAGGCATGTACCCTGACCAGGAATCGAACCGTGATCTCCTGGATGCTACCTAGGTCCATGCTCAACTGCTGAGCTATGCCCAGCCGGACCCCTCCCCCATTATTGACACCCCTCTGTGATCCTCCCACACTGAGCATGGGATGAGGTGACATAGGCCTATGGATAAAGTGGGAGGCCCAAGGCCCTTGGCATTAGGACTGTGAGTGGTATGGGGAGCCAGGCTTCCGTAGGCCCAAGTCCAGTGACTGCTCTGAGCACAGGGACCACCTGCAACTACACTGAGCACCAGAGCCTGCAGTTGGAGCTGGGTGGGGGAGGTAGGGCCCGTGCCTGATTTGGGTGTAGTGAGAAACTGCCAGCATCTCAAGGCAAATCCCTCTGGCTGCAGGTGAGGGAGCAGCAGGCTTAGGGCAGAGTCTTTAACAGTCAGAGGCCAGGCAGACTGACTGGAGGGTCCTTATGTGGGAGGTCTGGCCAACTGGGCTACCCTTGGGTAGGGACAGGGCCTGTAGCTGGGGTCAGACGGCATGGGGGCTCCTGTGGAAGTGGCGAGCTTCCTATAGCTGGGGAATGTCCTAGTCAGGACCTGCTGCCCAGGAGAGAATGGAACAGGGAGTGGGATTCTGCCTGGGTGCCCTCTACATCCCACCTTCGCCTGTCTGCATTCCTCGGTCCTGTAGGGGTGTGCTGTGTGACCACGGGTGGCCCTGCCCTCTCTGGCCTCCCACTGGGCTGTCCTTGCCTCACATCCTGTCCTGCTGCCTCCTTTTTCCTTCCTCTGAGGGGCCTGCCTCCCTAGATGGTCTGGGGAGGGGTCTTCTCCGCTTTGCTACAGTGGCCTGTCCTGGCAGCTGTTCTCAGGGCTTCCTGATGGAGTCAACAGCCTGCTGGTATGCTGGCCAAGCCCACCCACTCCAGCCTAATGCCTCACCCAGCAACTGGGGAAAGGGAGGTGTGGAGAGGCAGGAACTGGCTGAGATCACCGAGCAAGAAAGCCCAAGCCCGGGCTCTGCAAGATGGCCTTGGCTCCCTGGCTGGCTGGGAACACTGGGCTCAGGGCCCTGGGAGTGTGACTGCTGCTACCTGCCTGTGCGGCCACCTGCCTGTGCACCCGCTGGCCCATGGGGCAGGCCAGAGCAGCTAGAGCCCGGACCTGCCTTCTTTCCACCCTATCCTGGAGGCCCACCACCAGCTAGAGCCAGGAGCACAGCGACACCTGACCCCACACTGTCTGCCTTAAAGCCACCATGGAAAAGCCTCAGTGTTTGTTCTATTTAAAGAAAGCCTAAGATTAAAGGGCCTTAAACTGTGAGCATGCTGGGCAAGTTCCTCATTTTGAAACCCTGACCCTCTGGAGAAGCAGGGGACACTTACAGGGGTGTGTTCTGGTGTGGGGGGCTGTCCAGGCTTATAGGGCTCTTGTGAGCTGAGGGACCCAGTTGGCAGGGCAGGACTTGTCCCCGTTCCACAGAACATGGGACTAAGGTCAGAAAGGAGTTGTACCAACCCCTGCCCAGCTCCCAGTTGAGGATGCCTAGCCCAGTTTCCAGTTTGTTCTAAGGGTCAAGTCCCATGATCCTATAGGGGCCTTGGGAGGTTGTACCCTAGACTCTGGATCCATGCCCCCAGGCTCCTGGTGGGGGTAGGGGGAGTCTTGAGTATAAGGGCTGTTCCCTTGAAAAGGGCAAGGAAGTGGGAGCCCCCAGGACATGAAGCAGGTGAGTGATGGGGAGCACTGCCCAGGAACGCTTGGCTCTGTGGGCCTGGGACAGAAAGGGTGGCTGGAAACAGTTGGATTTGCAACAGGCATTCAGCAATGGGAAAGGGGTCTGGAGAGAGTGTGGCCCGGCCAAGGTTGTGTGGCAGGTTGGTGGTTTATAGCTAGGGTATTGCTGAAACCCAGGTTCTCCACCTACCTGGGCAGCCTGACAGAAGTGACCTGGCCTGTGGGCTGGGACAAGTTGTACGGGCTAAGGGAGGGTTTCAAGGAAACAAAAGGAAAGCATTTGCAAAGAGGGAGGCAGTAGTTAACGAAAGTCAGCCACATGTGGAGGGAGCGTGCTCCAGGTGGGAGAAGCCACCAGGAGAAGGGACACAACCTTGTGTGTATGTGGTGTGTGTGGTCTCAACCCAGACATAGGCCCAGGCAGCCCTCTGGGGACAAGAGTCCTATTAGGTGACTGGGGAGATGGTCTGGAGGATTTGGTGTTAGCCTAAGTCCAAGGTGAAGTGACTGTCCCCTCCACGCTGGAGCTTGGGTTTCCCTGAATACTCAAAGTGGGGCCTAGGAGGACTTTCTGGAGAAGGCAGGTAGACGCTCAGGGATTCCCCCTGCCAGCCACCTCTGAGCACCTTCTGCTATGTCTTCACAGGCCTGACCATGAGGCCAGGGGAACGTGCAGTGGGGTGCTTCATGGAGCCATAACCTGATCCTGGGCCACTTCTGGCTGGCCTAGACCTGCCCTCCACCTGGATGGTGTGCCCTCCTCTAGCTAACCAATTTCTCCATCATGTGAGGCCCTGCCCTGGCTCTGGTGGGTGTGGTGGTGCTCCTGCACATGGAGCCCCATTTCCTGCCCCACCCCAGTCAGGCATCTATGCCCGAGTGTTCAGAGGGCAGAGTCCTGTCTGGTCTATGTGAATGTCCCAGGCCTACTGACCATCCTCATTTCCTCAGGGAGAGAGGTGGGAACAATGATGTGTGAGGAGAGAGAGCTGCAGAGCCTGGAAGACTGGGCAGAGGCAGATGGGGAGATGGAGGGGTAGAGGGGACACAGGCCTAGTGATGGCACCAGAGATGCAGGTGGAGACCCTCCCCGCCCCAGAGAGGAGACTCAGGATGCCTGATGCAGGTGGGCAAGCTTCTTCAAGGGCATTCAGGGCTGGGAGGGGGGTGGGGGCCAGAGCACAGAGGCTACCCAGGGCAGGCGTCCCGTCCACATTGCACAGCTCAGTGTTAACAGCATGACACAGGCCAAGTTAGGCCAGTGCCATCCACATCGGAGGGCACACACTTGCTGGGTTGTTGGTGCAAGACTTAGTCACCTTTGCATCCCCCAGGGAGGGGTACACTGTGGGCAGAGAGCACCAGTGTTGGGACCCACTGTGGGGTCACCATCCCATTTCATTCCCTGAGTGGTCCAGCCCCCATGCCTTCTACCAACTGAGTGCCCACTACGCACGCAGCAGCCAGCACAGGGATCCTCACTAGCAGGGGAGGGGGGCCTGGGACTGTAGCCCTGCCAGCCCAGCCAGCCCAGCGCCACTGACCTATCTGCAGGGAGTAGAGTGTGGTCTTGAGCATGGTTTCATTGGCATTGCAGGTGGCAATGATGACACAGCTGGACACCCCTGTGGGCTCCTGATAGGTGCATTGCAGAGCCCTGCTGGGTGGGAAGTGATAAGGAGGCACTCAGGCAGGCCCTGCCCCTCCCAAGCCCTCTGTCCTGGAGGCCCAGGCTTGAGGGGACAGTGTCACCCAGGGCCCAGTTACCCACCAGGCAAAACTAAAAGTCCCAAGGCAGTGTGTGGCCCTGGGGGAGGTGGGCTCCCAAGGTGGGGATGAAGTGGCTTTGGCCATGTGGGGGAGGCACCAGTGTCTGCAGGGTAAGGGTGGGCTAAGCTGGGCCTGGTGTACCTGCAGAGACTGTCCTAACAAAGCAGGGACCCAGGGAGACTCAGGCAGGTCAGGCTGCACTGCAGCAGGGGTGGGGCACAGCCATTCCTCGTCCTGCTACAGTGCCCTACCCCTACACAGGAGCCCAAGCAGCCCACTGACACTTTGAGGCCACAGGCTTCTCCACCCCTATAGGGTGTCACTGTGTCTCTCTGGCTAACCTCAGTTTCCCTCAGAAATGGGCAGAACCATGTCATCTAGCTGGGACCCAGCTCCTGTGGTTGGGTGTGGGGGCCCCGAGTGGCTGGAATGTCTCCTCAGTTGTTTTCTCAGATGCTCGCCCCTGCGCATATGTCTGTGTTTGCTTCCCTCTGCCTGTCCTCTGCCACCACCAGCAACTACCTTGTCTGCCCAGGGCACCTGTGAGACCTGCCGCACACCCTGCCCTGCTCCATGGCCCCAACTGTGGAGCTGCCTGTGGCCCCTGGTGAAGGGCAGTTCCCCAGCTGGCACCCAGGGCATTTGCTGGTGACCCAAGCCCACCTAGCCAGCCTCAGCGCTGAGGGGCAACCCCCTCACAGCACACCCCTCCTCACCCC